CCATTAAATAATATAGAATTAAACATAAACTACCAAGTGAAGTGTTAAAATCGATAATATCGACGTGTTGCCAATTTATTAAGAGTCAACGACGTCTCGTTATTTCGTCGTTTGTCGACGGAACTCGCGGCGACGTTCAGTATCGAGCTGTAACGAACGGCCGCGCATATGAACAATGAACCGTGAAATGCAATTAACCGATAACGACGCACGCGGATTACCGCGGGACTCTTGAAAGAGCCGGGCGGCAAATGAATAAGGAGTAACCGAGGTGCTTAAGTCTCCACGCCACTTTTCAGGGCCCTCGAAAGCTGCCTCATTATTCCCAGCCACTTTTTAGTTTGGCCATTATACTTTCGTTTTTCTAATTACTCCATTGTGCCTAGGATTCATTCTCGCCGCGGTAGCTGTCGCGTTGGAGGATCGATGACGTTTTTGACACACCACCACAGCGTCCTGCGGAATACCGCGAACAAGGGGTAATTAATTTGATCGGTAGAAATCGATCTATTTCTTATCGTCGAATTTTTAACTGAGCGAGTTTATCGCGGGATTAGATCTTCGTGGACTTGGATAATTTTTAAATATCAGAGTCGGTCACCGTTTGAATTGAATTCTATTCGTATAATATCTCTAAGGAATGTTTTGATTAACTTGTTCGAATAGAGCGAAGTTATTCGAGAATAGTGAATAATTTCTTATTCGCAAGTGTAATATACGTTTTATTTTGAACTCTTAAATATTAGAGAAGAAGTCCTTTAGTTATTTACATAATTTAAGTGTTATTCCCAATTGTCGATTTGAGATACGAAATCCAGAAAGTTTCAGAGTTCTCGGATCCACCTGTACTCTCAAAACCTCAGACACAACAATTTCAGTAATCTTAACATCAAACATAACTAACGAAGAGAGTGAGTTTCGAAGATTCGTCCTTTAAAGCGTCATAACACCAGAAGAAGAAATCCTTATTTTCAAAATAATTAAGCAGTTATTCGAAATTTTCGATTCCACATAGAAAATCCCGACAGCTTTAACACTAAAACTACGACACCAGTTAAACTGACTGGATTTAATTTTCTTATTTCCTAATGATCAATATTAAAAATATGTTAAATATTATAAATAATTCTGAAAATTAATAATCTCACTTACTTAACACTAGGTTTACGGAACGCGTCAAATTGACGCATATTGGATTTTAGAAATATTATTTTGTAAATATTTACGCCGATTTTGATTGATGCGATCACAGTGACATGTACCCCAATTACCTACTATCAAATCTCCAGTTTCCACAATCTAAATAAACGAGGATCAATTCTTTTAGGAATAATAGAATGAAGTGTACAATAAATGCCCGTAAACCTAGTGTTCATATAAGGAATACCAGCAGAAATTGGAACAAATGTACGCTTACAATTTTTAAAAGGAGTACATATTAATTATATCGAATGCTCGGTAATTTTAGTAACTTACATAAGACGAGCCTTATCTAGAAACATCTCCCAAAGCCTACAACCCAAACACAACAACTCCAGCAACCCCAATACCGAGCACAATCAGCGAACCTCCAAAAATCCCCAACCCGCGACCCCTCAAAGTGTCATAATTCCCAACGGACTCGTTCGATGGGCAAAAACTCGTTATCAAGCCGCCTCATTAGGCGTTTAACAGGTTAGCAAAGTAACCATCAGCGGGATGAATAGTCGAGTGTACCATTAGTCGCGACGGTGGATGTGCTGGGGTGGAGTATTGAAGCGATCCCCGTGCG